TTCCAGACTTAGAGAGGGCAAGTGACTTGCCCAAGGTCACACAGCTAACAAAAGAGATTCAGACTCATACCTGGGTCCCTCAGGTTCCCAGTTCATGCTGAGTTTACTCCACCCTTGAGAATTCCTTCCCCAAAGCTGTCACAGTGAGTCTGGGCTGGAGGGGGCTCCAAGAGTGGGTGAAGGAGGGAGGGAGGGTGAGATCGAGGCAGGGGCTCCCACAGCAGCGGCCCTCCCTCCGGCAGCCACTGCGGTGTGATGGGGAATCTGTGCCCCTGTCAGTCATGTTCTGGGCGGTCCTGCTTTCCCCGAGGGAAGCCCCACGTGTCCTGGGAACATCTTGTTGACTCTGACACCCAAATGAGGTCTGTCTCCCAGGGTCCCAGTGTTTCTGACTCTTTCTTATTTCCTACGAGAGGCCTGGTGCACGAAATTTGTGCATGGAGAGTGTGGGGGTGGAGGTTGTCCCCAGCCCGGCCTGCACCCTCTCGCAGTCCAGGACCACTGGCTCCTAACCACTCCCCTGCCTGCCTGCCTGATCGCCCCTGACCACTCTGCCTGTCTGCCTGATTGCCCCTAATTACTCGCCTGCCTGCCTGATAGCCTCTAACTGCTCGCCTGCCTGCCTGATCGCCCCTAACCCCCTCTGCCTCGGCCCCTGCCACCACAGCTTCATGTGGAAGGATGTCTGGAAGGTTGTTTGGTTGTCCGGTCTAATTAGCATGTTACGCTTTTATTATTATAGATAGCAATATATTGTTTAAAAAAGTTTTACTTCATCCTGTTTGGGTGGGTTTCTGAGGACAAGCTCCTTAGAAGCAAAATCTGAATGGGGATTCTTGTGTAAGCAATTTATTGACAGAATGAGAGAGTACTCTCAGGAAAAACCTGTAAGAGAGTGAGGGAAGCAGAATAAGGAAGGGAAATAGGTAGAAAAAGACGTGGTTTCCCAAAGTGGCCTGCCTCAGCCTGATCTCAGGGGGAGTTCTAGAGCATGAGTTGTACCACAATTTGTTCTGCCTTGAGACAAGGGGGCTGAACTTTTATACCACCCCTATCAGTCAGCCGTTGGCTACAAGCCACTCTCCTGGAGTGGGGGTCATGACCTTCCTGTTTCCTGGGACTCCCATTGGCTCAGGGCAGGTGCCCAAAGCAACGGGCAGCTGTGAGCTGCTATTAGCAGCCAACACCCGCAGTGAGTGTGGAGCACTGGAGGGGACTGGGACCCCCAGCCTAGAAAAAGAGAGTGTGGGTGGGATAGTGATAGCACTGCCTCAGAGGGCAAATGGCCGTGGGGATTCCAATCCTGACCTTCATCCAGGAGCAGATTCAGCAGGGAGTGCGGGCTTCCTTCAGCCGTGCCATTTGGGTCACTGGTGGCAGTTCTTGACTGTTCACTGGTTATATTTCTCAGGGATGGAAACAGAACTTCCAAGTGTTACCGACTTATCTGAGAACTGGAATTAGAGATGTTCAGCCCACAGTTTACTGCTTCTGTTCCCCCATTTAATGGTTGTTAAATACTTTCTAGGGCATTCCAAGTAGCAAACAACATATCAAAGCACAAATCTTATTCTAATTTTACAACAATTGATACCATTAGGAATTGTCCATATAAAATGACAAGGATGACATCATTATTATGAGTCTAGCTGTCTATTTTAGAAGGTCAGTCTCACAGGGCAAAGCTGTGGTTTGGATGAGTAATATGAAAAAAAGGCACAAGACAGTTTGCTTGGTACATTATGTTATATTGTCAGGAGAAAAATAAGTGCATTGGGTGTTCTGTGTAGTCTGTGACCAAAGGTTAATTCAGTAAACCATTCTCTGAGGTGAACAGATGAGCTTCAGATGAGCAAAGAAACAAATCAATATCTGCAGCATGTTAATCACAGTGCAACTCCTTGCAGATTTCAATGCTTTTGTTCTGTCTGCTACTGAAAATGCTTTTCCAAAGCATGGATTTCATGTCCGGAAAGTTGAGTATAGGAGTGCTCCGAGATCAAGTTTCTTGGTCAGGATCAATGCTCCCGGCCAGTAGGACTAGCACACTGAGTGGAATGGTAGAACCTGAGTTCCGGAGCCGTGGCCACCTACAGGGTTGCTAGGTAGTGGGATTTCCTGGTAGGATGCAGTACACTGACAAAGGAACCTGGGGCAGAGTGCTGAGGTGAACTCAGTGTCCAGAGGAGAGAGATTGCTTTGTTCTATGACTAAAACCAATTCTCTTCGCAAGACAGGAATAAGGCGGGCCCCAGAGAGAACAAATGTGAGTGGGTGCCTAAAGAAATGACAGAAGTCATCCCAGGAAAGCATTCCCAGAAACTCCCACCTCTGCAAAGGAGAGAATGTGGCTGACTAAGCTGGAAGGCATATTGGATTTCCCCACCATCTTCCGAATGCCTAATACTTAGTAAGAGCTTACTAAGTACGTGTTTAATTAATGAATGTTCTACAGGCCGATTAGTTTTAACATTCAAATTTAAACAAAAGGTATTAATTAGACACCTGCTTGAGAGGATAGCTTTTTTGAGAAATGCTAAGTTTATAAGTCAACTCAAGAAGCCTTTAGGTTTCTCAATTAGCAAACCCTTTAAAAGATTCCATGAGAAAATCATGTTTCCTGGCTTCTTTACAGCCCCAAATTTCTCAGAACAGTTTTTTGTAGGTCAGTGTAGCAGCTGTCTGAGTACTAGTACTGCCCTTTCCACATCACTGAAAATAGCAATGTGGTAAATGCTGTAGCCCAGGAGTAAGCATCACAACCTCCTGAGGATCTTATTAAAATACAAATTTCTAAAAACACTCTAGGTTATTAGTTATGAGGTCTAGGAGCTTAAAAATCTCCTTCATAATAAACACTCCGGTGGTTCTGAGGTGGACGTAGGGTATTGCCGCAATAATAATGCGTCACAAACCATGCAAATCTCAGTGTCAGGCAGCAATAAGCACCTCCTTTCCACTCACTCACACATCAGCAGGTAAACTGAGTACAGCTTATCTAGGCTGGACTAGGCTCCAACCTGTTGGTCCAGATCTGCTCCGCATGCTTCTCATCCTCCGTGAACTAACATCTGCCTGAGGCAGGTTCTTCTCATGGAGAAAAGCAGGAGTGTGAGATGGCAAACCCTACCACCCAAGCAGATGCCACGCCTCTGCTCACACCTTGTCTGCTAATATCCCATTGGCCAAAGGGAGAAACATGACCAAGACAAAAGTCACTGGAAGGGAAATATCCTGTGTTCATGGAATCCAGGTGAGGGGAGTAAATATTTGCTGATAATTCAATCCATCACAGGGTAGTACAAAGATTTGGTACTTTGAAAAGCACTAGCGTCTCCTGAACCAATCCAGGGAAGGTGAATGTAAGGTCAACTTTTTATTTAATTAGTTATTCAACAAATATTTATGAGTGACTACCAAATGCCAGACAGACAGGTAATGAGTCATTGTTTATCTGAAAAGAGTCCAGTCCAAAGGCAGATATGCACATAGATAATCACAAGGCAATGTGCCGGTTACTATGTAACAGAAGCAACAGAGAGTTAGCTTAAAAGTCTAAAATTGGCCTGAAAAGCAAAATGTAGTGTTCTCTGTGAGCCAGCAATGATTTTTTTAAAATCCTTAAAATATGGGAGACATACAGAATCAGATTGTAAGATAACATCAAATCCCAGATGGCTCTCTGGAGAAGATGCTGCAAATGATGGAATGTTTCAGGCTCACAGGTTTAGACATGAGGGCGAGAGGAGAGGAGACCATCAGCATAGCAACTAGCAGAATTCTCAGAGATGACTTTCATTGGCCCAGACAGAGGCATACATCCCCCCTGAACCACTCCTGTGACATTGATTGGCCTAAAATGGGTCATAGCCCTCCTCCTGAATGGAGAAGCTCAGGTGATCAGCCACATAAACAGAGTGGGAGGTGGTTTTTCCCAAGAGAAAATCAATGTACTGGAAAAAAATAAAATAAAATAATTTACTT